TTCCTTCCATCCTTTCTTCTCTCCCTATTGTCCTTCCTTCCTTCCTTCCTTCCTTCCTTCCTTCCTTCCTTCCTTCCTTCCTCTCTCCCTTCCATTCCTTCCTTCCATTCCTTCCTTCCCTTCCTTCCTTCCTTCCTTCCTTCCTTCCTTCCTTCCTTCCTTCCTTCCTTCCTTCCTTCCTTCCTTCCTTCCTTCCTCTCTCCCTTCCATTCCTCCCTTCCTTCCTCCCTTCCTTCCTTCCTTCCTTCCTTCCTTCCTTCCTTCCTTCCTTCCCCCTTCCTCCCCCCTTCCCCCCCCCACCCCCCAAGCATTACAGTCTTTCCTTCCTTTGAGTTAAGGACGACACTTGTTGGCTTTGACAATCTTTCGTCTTCCTTTCAAAGCAGAAAACAAAGCAGCGAAGAAGCTTTCCGTGCCACAAACGATCTGCCAAACGTCAGCGAAGACGAACTGCTTTCTTGAAGAAGAAGAAGAAGAAGAAGAAACCCTAACCCCACCCTTTGCCCTTCCTGGAAAGGGGGCTCCAAGCAGGGTCTGCGAGAAGAGGGCATCCTGCAATGGGGCCGGCTTGCCTTCCACGACGTTGGTTCATTGTCTAAATCCCGAACGTGAAGAGTTTTTGTGACAGCATGCTGTACAGATCAGAACCCATCCTCTCACCTTCCAGAAAAGACCTCTGCTGATGAAGGACAGGACTTGGGAACCGAGAAGGATTATCATCTCCAGGGTGGCTGGTGCTCTGGGAAGCCTCATGTCGAATTTCCGGGGAGGAAATAAAAAAGCGAAACAAAGAAACTCACCCAAAATGAAACCGAGTTTGGAAAGAAAAGCGACACCCACTCAGGCCGAACCCTTTGCAAAAACCACGGTCCGATTTCATTTTTTTTTTTTTTAATATATCAACGGGCGGCTAAACCACGGTGCTTACTGCCAAACGAGGATCAAGAAAACGCTTGCTTTTTGGTGGGGTTTCTTTTTTTTTAAATAATAATTATTATTGCTATCCTTTTTATTGCATGGAAAGCAAACCGATCTCACACTAAGGGGTTAGGGTGGGGGGTATTTGCAGAACGCTTCATTTTTTGTGAGCAGGTAATTGAGTTTTATTTTAAGAGCGAGTTTTGGAAGAGTCTTGAGTTTTCCCTTCGTCGGGAGCGAAAAGACGGAAGGGACGTGCATCGCCAATTTGCATTTGGAGATGGTTTGCGCGGTTGCGTTGAAGCACAAATTGCCAATATGCGTTTGTTTGGTGCCGTGGTCTGTTTGGCTGGCAAAGCCCAGGCTCGTATTTACTGATCATAATTCTATACTTTATACCTGTGTGACTGTACAGCTACGTTCCCAAAATTCAGGGTTTTATAAATGGTAGCCATCCGGTGCTTGCTGGCATGTTTTCATAGTCAAATAACTTTCAAGGATGGATGTAGAGATTCTGCAGTTTTTCCAAGACTCCCAAGGATTTAAACCAAAACCATATTATCATTTTTTTTGCTGCTGAGCACTTTTACGGTTCGCTTATAAAGAGTAGTTCTTTTATTTTCCTCCACACTACAGCATTATGTATTCCAGTAGAGTCACAGCTCCTAAGTGAGGGAACTGTTGTTAAAACCAATTCATAGGGGATCTCGACAGACTATGAACCACACCCGTAATCTTTTTTCGCAGATTAACCTCGCTCGGAAGTTATACGGCTCACTCAAAGTCTTTGCATCAGCTTTTTGAAAAAGCAGCCAAGAATTAACGCATGGAAAGGCTGCTGTGGTTCTTTTTTTTGTTTTCATTTAAAAAAAAAACATGTTTAAAAAAAAAAGATAAAGTTTTCATTCCATTAAATAAGAAAAAGGAAAAAAAAAACAAGTGCATCAGAATATTTCTGGCAGGTTCCTTCTGTGCAAGCCAGGTCATTTGGAACATAGCATTGTTCTTATTCTAACCCCACGGGGTTGTGAGACAGTAACATTCATTGTTGTAAAAGCTAAATGAGAAGGGCTAATCGTAATCGGTGTGTGTGTGTGTTATGTTTTCATGCGCTGCTACCTGCAACGGTGGAAATACTGCCAGGAATAGTGTGAATTGTGGGCGAAGAAATGTTGAGAGTGAGGTTATGAAGACGCATTGGATGGAGTAATTTTGATTTTTGTGTTTGCAGCGTGTCTGTAAAGCCATTTGTGATGATGCTACTTTAAGAATCAGGAATGTTAAGTCTTTCAGGCCATTTTTTAAATAAGGCTTGGCTACCTTTTGCTGCTGAAGAATCCCTGACAATTGCTAATTTTTATATCAGCAATGAATGCCTCCAGTTTCTACTAGGCAATAGCCCTCTTAGCTTCCAGCTAGCTTCCTACTATGCATTCCACTTTTATGAGGTATCTGACCATAATGCATTTAACCTTTCTGGTAAATACAGATTTAAAAAGACTTTTTAAGGACTGCTTTCTGTATTCAGGCTAAAAAAGTAGAGAATTCAGAAGAGGCTGAAATAATGTAGACCTACGTAAATTTGCTCAGAAGTTAGTCTCACGTTCAATAGACCTTCCCAGATCAATACTTATATCCTCTCTTTCCTTCCTTTCTTTTTCTCTTTCCTTCCTTCCTTCTTCCTTTCTTCCTGTCTGTCTGTCTCTCCTTCCTTCGTTCTCCCTCCCTCCCTCTTCCCACACTCATTATGGGTGTATTTTTTGGACACTCTGTTTTCAAACTCAACCATTCACTAACGTGAAGGGGGAAAAAAGCAATAGAAATCATATTTCCCTATGCCTTTATTTTCTCCGGCAAAATAGATCATTCTCATCGATACCGCCTTACCCCTGTCTCCTAAAAGAGGGAAAGTACCATTATCTTTTCAGTTATATATTCAATTTGCGTGGGTATAAACAGGGCAGTAGGAACACAGTAGTAGAAGTTGGAGAGGGAGAGCTTGACACGTCAACAGGTCGCATTTATTTAACATCCTGGGGATCTCCAGGTTGGGATTACAGTCGGGCGGGAATTCTCAAGATCTGCTTCATTTCAAAAACAGAGACTGCAAATTGCACCAAGTGGCTCTTTTTAAAAGGGTGACCATGGAAGACAAGTGTCTAAACGAGTGATACCTTTCCACCTTTTCCAAATTAAGAGGGGTGCGATACGTAACAAAGGGGAGCACATCAGAAACGGGCAATTCTAGAAATATTAAAAAAGTTGTCTTGGTCCCACCACCTCGCCCTGCATCCCATCTGTGCATGAACTGGACGGTGGGAAAGGCACACAGAAGATCCGATGCAAAATTATCTCGGACTACTCGAAGCTTGGCAGGGCCTGCCCCCCAAAAAGCGTTGAAGGTTTTTCAGGAGGACATTGCTTTCCTCGGGCGAATCTCGAGGTTGATCCCAGGAGGCCGCCAACAGAAGCAAAGCTGGACGGAGCCCAGGAGGGACGGGGGAAATCACAGACCCGCTCTTTCCCAAGGAGAAAATCCAGGCCCTCCTCGCCAATGAAAGACCTCTCTCGGCTGGGTGAAATGAGCGGGATCTGTTTGTGAAGAATCACCGTGTTGTGGAGCCGCCTTGAACGTCTGTCTGGGATGCGTACGACGGATGGTCTCCCTGCTAAAACAAAGGCAGCTTTTAGGACGGGAGAAACCAATGTGTCCAAACATAGCTGGCTGGGGAATTCTGGGAGTTGAAGTCCACAAGTCTTAAAGTTACCACGCTTGGACACCCCAGAATTAAGACTGATGTTTTCTTCCCAAATTGACAGATTAGCAATTAAGAGAAAATGGATCACTCCGAGAAAATAATTTAGCTTCTTCGTTTAACAAGATTCCTGGATTCATTCAACACTTATTCTCTCTCTCTCTCTCTCTCTCACACACACACACACATTATAATTCTTGGGCAATCTGGAGAGACCACAAGCAATCCCACTGCCAAGTCTGCAATTAACTTTCTCTACTTCTGAAGGCCAAAACTAAAACCCATAAATAGGAGAATATCGTTTTTAATTTAGTGGCTTGGGTACAAAGGGCAAAAACCATGTAAAACCAATGGGAAGTGGCAAGCTTACCAATTCGTAACTTCCCACGAATTTGTATTTCTTCTCTCTGTAGTAGTATCTTTTCTTCATAAAATACAGGATAATGATATCACAGAGGATGGTGGTCTAGATGAGGTTTCAAGGAATTCATTTTGAGAAATGAGATCTTCCAAAGACCAGAAACATTTTTAAAAATTGCTCTAGAAAAAAATTAAAGTTTCTTACCACGCCAAATAGGGCGAAGCCAGATCCAATGTTGATCATAGTAGGGATGATATCAAACTTCCCAGCCTAAGACATATGAATAGAAGCAAAATATTCTATTACATCTCCTTAAGAACACTGCAGAGACTGTCTGTATACTATTTTCGACTCATACAATGAACTAAAGCTGTAGTCTGGCTTGTTGCCATGTGTGACTTAATTATTGATGGTTTTTGTGTCATGATTAATGGCTTAGAGCAGGCGTCACCAACCTTTTGGACCTCAGGGACCACCAAACTCATAATTTTAGATCCTGGGGACCACTAATATGAATTTTGACTGACAGTGGCTTGCTGATATTGGTGGGAGAGAGAGATCTGATTTAACCTTTCTCCCTCTCTCCCTCTCTCATACACACACAGACACACAAGCAGGAGTGGGATTCAAATTTCTTAACAACCAGTTCTTGGGCATGGCCTAATTTGTGGGTGTGGCTTGGTGGTCATGTGACTGGCTGGACATGGCTTGTATGTAAATATTATAAATATTTATGTAAATATTTATTTTTTATATGTAAAAAAGAGCAACTTTTACCCGAAATTAGGCAAAGCAGGCAGGCAGATTGAGTTGCTCACAGAATCACAGATTCACTTAGAGATTTATGTTTCTGCCATCGGCTACCTGAGTCTGCACTGAATAATAGAACCTTCAGTCCTAAGGGAGGTTTGGCTCTGCTTTTAAGCTGAGTCGAAAATCTAAAGACTAGCTGTGGTCCCGTGCAGCCTGGATTGCTTTGGGAGGTGCTCGGGGGGTGACATTTCTCTGCGGACCACCCAAATTTTCTCGCGGACCACCGGTGGGCCATGGCCCACTAGTTGGCAACCACTGGCTTAGAGCAACATTTCTCAACTGAAACTACTTTCCAAGGGTTACAAAACATCATACAATTTCCAAAAATCTTACCTCACCAAATACCATAATGTCAAAGCGTATGCCATAAGCCTTGATGAGTGTCCGATACTCCACATTGGGAGAGATCCGGTAGTATTTTGCAAACCTAAACCAGAGAAAATAAGTAAAATTCAATCCAATGATCCAATGATTATGCTAAAACAAACTCGTAAATATATTTTACACATTATCTAGCAGTAGCACCTTCACCGACTTCGGCATATAGCTGTAAAAATAACCAGGGGAAAAATCATAAAACTAAAAACACAAAACAAAATACAGTAAAAAAAAATCGTGTCA